ACAGGAGCCAGGGAAGGGCTGGAGCTGTGCCAGGGGGGTTGGGATGGATCTCAGGGAAAGGTTCTTCCCCCAGAGGGTGGTGGGCACTGCCCAGGCTCCCCAGGGCAGTGGGCACGGCCCCAAGGCTGCCAGAGCTCCAGGAGCGTTTGGACAACGCTCTGAGGGACAGGGGGGGATTGTTGGGGTGTGCTGGGCAGGGACAGGGGTTGGACTGGAGGATCCCTGTGGGTCCCTTCCAGCTCAGGACATTCCATGATTCTGGAATGAATCTAGCTAATCCCTCACAGCCCCAGGGGTGGCAGCAGGACAGAGGAGACACTCACATTGTCGTGGCTGAGCATGACCCCCTTGGGCTGCCCCGTGGTCCCCGAGGTGTAGATGAGGGTGCAGCACTGGTTGGGCTTCTGTGCCCCGATGGCCAAGTTGAGCAGAGTGTCTGGGACATCCTTGCCCAGCTCCATGAACTCACTCCACTGTGCAGAGAAGAGAAGAGCTCCATCACTCTGTGATCTTCCACACAAAAATTAAACCCTTTGCTACACAAGGGCAGGAAGCCATTCCCTGTGTCCAAGCCTCTGGAAGATACTGTCATCCCACACTGTTTTCTGGTTGCCACAGGAGAAGCAGAAAGGAGACAGACCCACCCTGAGCAGCTTTTCCAGCTCTGTAGCAACCCTGGTGCTCACTGGAGTAACTGTGGGACCCGGGGCTGCCTTGCAGAGGTTGGTAACCCAACACCCTCCTTTCAGCAGGGATTAGCTGGGTTTGCACAACAGCTCCTGCCCAGCGGGGCAGGCAATCCCTCACCACGGCCAACACGAGCCCGTGGGCTCACAGCCACACAATCCCACACTGCTTTGGGTTGGAAGGGACCTTAAAGACCAACTCATTCCACCCCCTGCCACGGGGCAGGGATGTGGAAGGTCCCATGGAAAGGTGACAGGCACTGGGAGCCACCACCTGAACACAACCAGGACTTACCGAGTACAGATTTGGTCTCTTCTCCTTTATCTCTTCCCCATACTGGACAATGGCCTTCAGCTGAGGTAGTTTATCCTCAATCTGTGTTGAGAAGGGAGACTCATGAGAAGGAGCAAATCCTGCTTGTCCCTTCCAGGCCACGTTAACCCACCATCTGACATGCTCCTGCTATTTTCCATTTTATGTAAAGCCAAGAGAATCCCATCTGTGCTGCTGAAACAACAGGGAAGCCTCACTAGAAACTCATAATTTGAGCTGGGGTGTTGCCAGACAACCTAGAGGCTGCTCAACTGTTCCTTTTGGCTTCCCTTTAAGAAGGGAAACCACCTCTTCACCCCTTGTGTGAGACTCAGTGCCAGTGACAACCCATCGCCAGACACCGAGGAGGCTCAGCCAGTTCACCTCTGCTTTCAGAGCCAGCATTCCCCTCAGGTATTGCCCTCCCAGAACGTGTCACCAGGATGCTGTAACCCCCCCAGACACCAAAAAAAATAGAATTACTTCTAAGATTTTCTGCAGCTGTTTCTGGTTTTCCACCACTATAACATCAGCACTGCAGTTCTCCGCCACGTAGTGACAGGCCTCGGGAGAGTTTGTTGTGTAGATCCCAACAGCAAATCCCCTGCAAGGGAAGAGGAGGGGGGGAGAAAAAAAAACAAAACAGAAAAGCACAAAACACAGAGTTAGAGGACAAGAAGAGTTGCTGGCAAAATTCAGACCTTTTCAGAGGAAAAAAATTTAAGAAGAATATCCCATAAAATGGCAAAGGAAAACGGAGGGTTTAATTCCAAGAGCAAAGGCTCTGATGGGTGGCATGGGAAATGTCAGAGTGGTATAAGGGTCCAAAATGGAAGGAAGATATCAAAATCCAACCCTGGGATTCTCTGGCACTTCCCATCCTATTTTTAATCACAGTGTATGTAAGAAATCTTTTCAATTAACCTACTGGTCATCTTATTTTGAGAGAGAAGCACCTGGCTAAAAACACAAATATTAATTTTTGTCTCATTAACTCTCTCTGAATTGAGGTTATAGTTTCCTCCATTATATTAAAATACAAACAGTTGGGTTTGGGGGTTTTCTGTGGTTGGTTTAGTTGGGGGGGTTTTAATCAAAACCCGCTCCTCATGCAGATACTGCAATTACTGAGTGCCAAAATTCATGCCAAGAGACAAGACTCGTTCTTACCCTGCAAGGATTGCTCCAATGTCAGCAATGAACCACTCAGCAGAATTAAATCCCAGGATGCCCACTCCATGGAAACGCTGCAGCCCCAGCTGTAAACAAGAGATGGAATTACAGCACTCTTGGTTTTTCCTTCAAAGAAAGCTTGGGGTTAATTTACAGATCTCTGCTGCCAACACAGGGTCGAGGAGAGAGTTTGTGTTGTTGTACAGGGTGATTCCCACTGAAAATCCTCCCAAGAGCCCGGATGGAACCTGTTAAGTTCCACATCAGGCACTGTCCTGCTATCAGTGGGCAGGAAAAAGGGATTTGCTGGGCTCTTGGAACGCCTGGCTCACTGACACCAAAACAAACCTGCAATCCAGGGAGCTCTCAGTCCCCTCTGGGAAGAGGTGAAGTTAGACAACAACACCTCCTGAGACATTTAATACGGGTTGGATATATCAGATATCAACAGTGGCAAGAGCAACAAGCTCCAGTGACAGTCAGAGACACTTCGGGATGAAATTTCAGCTGGAGAAGTCCCAGTCTTTAAATCTCCCTCTGGTTTTGTGCCAGACTGGAAGATCCCACCGCAGGAGTGAGACCAGGGTGACCACAACTTGAACAAAGCAGACTTCATCACAACAGCAAGAACATGGAGTGTTGGTTTCCCTCTCTGAGTGTCTCAACCCCAAAAGGTTGGGCCAGGTGGGGCATTCGAGGCTGGTTCACAAGCATCCCTTCAAATTTTTAATTTGAAAGATTAACATTCCCAAGGCTCTGGAGGTGCAGTGTCCAGGTTTGCTTCAAAAACTCAAACACCCTCACTTTAAATGTTTCCTTAAATACCTTTTTTTGAAGTTGAATGTGGAAGCAACTTGCAACAAATTCATCCAAGGAATATGAACAGGAGTTCAACAAACCACCCACCTTGAGAAAGCTTTTTGCTGCTTTACAGCACTCATCATAGTACATCTTGTATGTCAGTCTGACCCACTGGCCACCTTTTTTGGATGCAAGGGCGTAATAGTCCCCATATTTATTGACAGCTTCTTGGAAGAGCTGGTGAACAGTCTTTGGTGGTTCACTGCCTACTCCCTGGTCCTCCATCCTCAGCTTGACCTCCCCATCCCGCTGTGTTGTCCACACTCTGGAGGCAGGAGAGGAGGAGGCTGCTTGGGAACAAAAGGGTTCAGCATCTCAGGTTTCGACATTCCTTGCTGCCATGGCAGAAATATAAACCCAAGTATCAAGCACACAAAAGCAAATGTTGTTATACCCCCTCCCAACAACCCTTTTTTTGACCTTTTCCTCGTGGCAAGTTTGCCACAGGACCCCCAGTATTCTCGACTTCGAAGTTTAAGTTCAAAACCCTTCTGGACAGCCCATCGTGCACCCTGAGTTCCTTCTTCCATCCTTATGGTTGGATAAACACCCCTCTCACTCCAATAATAATTTTATGCACACCACAGTGACCAAACTTCTCCCCACTCACCTTTGGGATCAGCTGAGTCCAGCTGATGTCTCTCCATGTTGGAATCTTCCCCTGGCTCGATGTTGTGGGGCTCAGGAGTTCTGCAAGGCAAAAGCAGTTATCCCTGAATGAGCAGGTTTGCTCCATCACTTCATTTCATTAAATCCTTGGATGCTGAAGTGGCTCCTGATGTCCTGTAGGTGACTTTATTAATCCACTACCCTGCATGGCTCAGGTCCCTCAGAGCGTGCAAGCTCTGCCTGGGCTGGTTTTGAACACATGGACGCTGCCCTAATCGCAGCTTTCCTTGCAACCCATAAACATATCAGCCCCAAAACAGCCATCATTTCATTCCAGAGGTCTGCTCCAGGTGCCTGAAACAAAGAATCTGCAGCTGGGAGGAGGAGGAGGAGGAGGTGGGGGGTAGGAAGGGCCACGTGGATCTGGCGCTCATCTCCTGTCTGCAAAATGAGTCCAACAACGAGGAGGCCCCAGGGCATGTCTCAAGTCACCCTGTGGGAAAACCCACGGAGATTTCCTGCAGAAGAGCAGGAAATTGATTTCACAGGAAATCTTGCTCTTGTGTATTCCTAATAAAGCCATGGGGCTCCCACCAGATGGCTGTGAGGGAATGGGAACAGGCACATCCCATGAACTCCAGCCACGCTCCTCCCAGTCATCCCATTTCCCTCCAGCCCTGCAAGAGCTGGTGAAGCACCACTTGCCCCTGGTTGCAAACCAGTTTTTTTCCTCCAGCCCTTTCCCAGAAGGACTTTCTAGGAGCCCTAATGATGAGGATAAGGCATAATCAAGTGGCATGTCCCACTTGAGACCACAAGCTGGAAACCAGACCCTGTGAGATTTGGGATTTGGTCCCTAGAAGGGCAGCCCACCCCCTAACCAGGCAGCTGCTGCTCGTTCTCCTGCCCTGGGTAATACCCTGCCTGGACCATCAGCATAGCCCTAAAGCCAAGTTTTAGCTGACCCAAGATTTTACTCCAGAGACCCAAAATTTCCACCTTGCCTTGCCCTACCTGGGCCCCTTTTCTTCAGGCCATCATGGAGGTGTTTCACCAGGCCCGTGCTCGGTGTTTGCTCTTCCCCATGACAACATTTGGGCTGCAGCACCAGCTCCAGGGTGTTCTGGAAGGGCTGCAGGGCCCTGACATCACAATGACCCCAAAACCCTGTAGGGCAGCTCTGGGGGGAAAAAGGAGCACGCAGGTAGGAGCTCCTCTGCTCCCACACAAATTCCTCAGCCAAATCCAGGCAGGGCTTCTGCTGAAGCCCAGGTTTTATTCCCTTTCTACCAGATCAGAGACAAGGCAAGTCAGCACAGCCACTATGAGAATTTGAGTGCAAAGGGGAAATCCCTTTGCCTCTGGTTTATGCTTGCTCTGATTTTCTAGGGAATAGTCAACTGTAACTGCTTTGGGAATACAAGATTTAAGGCACAGGGAAGACCTGACATGGCTGATCCCACGTACTGTCCAAAAGCAGAACTGCTTCCCTGAACTCATCTCCAAGCCAACAACCAGAGCTGAGTAAATAATGTTTTTTTATTTCCCCCAAAGGGATTACGAGATGTTCCCTCCTCGTTATTGAGAACATTTTTCAGCGCAAATTAATCCTCAGCAGCAATAGTTCTGCACCATTT